TTATTTATTTCTTTAAAGGGGGGAGAGGAAGAGGGAGAGAGATTCCTAAGCAGACTCCATGCTGAGTGCAGAGCCTGATTCAGGGCTCAATCCCATGACCCTGAGACCATGACCCTGAGACCATGACCCCGAGACCATGACCTGAACCGAAACCAAGAGTCAGAAGCTTAACCAACTGTGCCACTCGAGTGCCACCCCCCCAACCCGTGCCCTACTTTTGCCTTTTCTAGAACTTATATTTGTGTCTATAAAACTTGCCTGGTCTTTTCCAATAGTACATTATTTCTAGGGTTTCGATTCTTTCTATTGTGTCTTTGATCATTTTGAACATACTAATTTTATACCTTTCAGATTGTGATTTAGTTATTTCAATTTCCTAGACTTCTGTATTCCTGATTTTTGTCACTCATAGTAGATTGATTCCATATGAGCTCAATACCTTTTTAGGAACCCATCTTTAGTGTGAGTTCTTTTTCTCTGACAATCTTTTCCAAGTGGTTTGGCATTTGGTTGTGCCAGGCAGAAGTACCAAAGGCTTAGACCAATTTTTTATGTTATTTTTTCAGTTGAGAAAGACAACTAAATGAAAAGATAGAACCATTGCCCAGGAAACTCGATCTAAGGTAAACATGTAGAAAGCAGACAGGTAGAGAGTTTTGAGCAGAGGAATGACATGATTTACTTACATTTCTAACAAGATTACTCTGGCTACTGTGCTGAGAATAGATTGTAAGGGGGACAAGGAGTAGAAGCAGGATACTAGTTAGAAGGTATTACAATAATAGAGAGGCAAAAGTGGCTTGGACCAGTGTAGTAGGAATGACTTGGTAAGAAATGGTCAGATTATGAATATACTTTTCTAACACTTTTTATTGTGAAATGCAATAAAAATACATAAAAGTGCATGAAACACAAATATACTGCATAACAGTAATTATAACATAAATACCTATGTAGCCACCCCACAGGTCAATAAATAGAACACCACCGGGACTGCAGAAGTCTCTCATATAAATTCCTTACCAAATACAAACTTCTCTCCCTCGAAAGTGACCTGCCTTTTATAATGATTATGTCTTTGCTTTTCTTTCCTGTTTTTAAACTTTATGTAACTAGGATTATACAGTGTGTAATTTTGTGTCTTGCCTTTTCTCACCCAGCATTGTTTGTGAGATTCGTCCATATTGCATGGAGCTATATTAGGGTTCTTTGCAATCACACTAGAATATTGGCTTGTCCGAAAATGGCTCGCTGTATTTATCTATTCTATTGCTGATAGACATTTGGGTTGTTTCCAGTTTTGAACTGTCATGAATGTCCTTTGAATATTATTGTCTACATCTCCGGGAGCACATGCATGTGTCTTGCTCTAACATGCATCCAGGAGTGGAAGTGCTAAGTCATAGAGTATGATATCTTCAACTTTACTAGATAATGCCAACCTGTTTCCCAAAGTAGTTTTAACAGTTTATCCTGCCTCAGCACTGTTTGATAATTCCAGTTGCTCTAGAACTTTAACACTCAGTATCTCAGTTGTTTTAATTTTAGCCATTCTGATGTAATATTATATTCCATTTTAGTTTAATTTTCAATTCCCTGATTATTTATGTGATTGGTCACATTTTTGTATGTTCTTGGTACTCTGAATATCTTTGGGGATGTACCCGCTCAAGTCTTTTACCCATTTTTCTATCAAGTTGCCTGTCTTTTTTTTCTATTTGCACTTTAAAAAAATTTTTTTATTTAATCCTATACTGGTTATATGTATAGCAAATACCTTTCCCCATTCTGTGCCTTGTGTTTCACTCTATGGTGTCTTTTGATGAAGATTTTAATTTTAATGTTGTAGAATGTACTGATATTTTCTTCTAGTTGTTTTTTATAGCTTGGCGGGGGGGGAAACTTCCCTACCATGAGATCAGGTAGTTTCTTATATAACCTTCTAGAAGATATAGGAGAAAGTAGTCTCCTATATTACCTTCTATATTTATTTTTGCCTTTCACATTAGGTCTTTAATCCACCAGGAATTGATTTTTTTTACTAGTAGAGTGAGGAAGGGGTCCCATTTCTTTCTCTCTCTTCCTTATCTGTCACCACCTATGTCTATCTCCTGAGATTCACTCATTTTTCCTAGCCTCACTTATTATAAAGTACATCCTTTCCCAACTGATGTATCACGCAACCTCAATCATACATCAAGTGTTTGTATATATGGGGATTTGTTTCTGGGCTCTCCACCATGCTCCATTTTCTATTGTCTATCCCTACTTCCATACCACACTGACACCATTACTACAGCTCTGTGTTAGGTTTGATGTCTCATAGAACAAGCCCTCCAACCTTTTCTTTCATCTTCAACAGTGCCTTGGCCATCTTTAGCCCTTCCTACTTCCATATAAATTTTTTTTAAGATTTATTTATTTACTTTAGAGAGAGAGAACAAGAGAGTGAGAGCAGGGGGGGGGAGAGGGAGAGAATCTCAAGCAGACACCCCACTGAGCACAGAGCCCAAGGCAGGGCTCCATCTCATGACCCCAAGATCATGACCTGAGCTGAAACCAAGAGTCTGACGCTCAACTGACTGAGCCACCCAAATGCCCCTTCCATATAAATTTTAGAATCAACTTGTTAAGTTCCACAAAAAGTTGGGATTTAATCAGGATTATACTTATTCCATAAATCAGTCTGGGGAGAATTATCATCTTAATCAGTCTGTGAGCCTAGTATAGCTCTCATTTTAGATATGTCTTTTTTAATACCAGTATGATTTTATTTTCTTTGAAAAAGACTTACATATCTTTTATGAGATTTAGTCCTAAATGTAATATTTTATGCCACTTAAAATCATATCTTTAAAACATTTATCATTTGGTTTTGCTGGGAAATAAAATGATCAATATTTAAAAATTGATTTTGGTATCCAGTAACCTTACCAGACTCTCCAATTAGTTCTAATATCTTATCTTAGACTCTATTGGAGTTTCTGATTATCTCCAAATAATGACAGTTTGTTTCTTATTTTGCAGTCCTTAGAACTTTCCTTTCTTTTTCTTATTTATTGAGCTGGCTAGGGTCTTTAGTAAAGCACTGACTCCAAAGGTTTCATTGAATTGATTGAATTTGGGTTTCACATTTTGAAGGCACAACCAGCAGGATTTGCTGACTAATTATAGTTAGGCTCTGAGAAAAAGAGAGGAATCAAGGTTGAGTTCAAGGTTTTTGGCCTGAACAACTAGAAGAATGACATTACCATTTACTGCAGGCAAGGCCAGAGATTTGTTGATCATATAGTGCTGGTAATTAAATGAAGAAAGATAAAAACTGTCTTATACTTATTGGTACTGATCTTTCTAACAGACTTTAGCCTGGTCTTCCACTTCTGAAGTAATTCAATCCAGGAAGGATTTAAACATATGCAAATGTTCTCAATAGGGTTTGTCTTGTGACTTCCTGTTCAGCCACTGCCCTCTACAGGTGGTTTGTCTGAATATGAGCTGTACACTCAATAAAATCTGAACCAAAAGAGAGAGAGAGAGAAAACTTTTCCCTCTAGCCTGTCTTTCCTATTTTATCACACACACACACACACACACACACACACACACACACACACACACCCCTATCTTGTTTTGCAATCTTTCCCAAGTCAAATAATTAAAAGAGAACCTCTCTCACCCAGGAAACTTGGACCCTGGAAGTAGCTTGTCTGGAAAGATGTCCTAGAAAGGCCAGCTGCATTTCTGTGGTGTTAACCTAAAGACAATGAAGAAAAATGAAGGGGTGACTCCTGCCAAAGAGATCCTGAGTCATACAAAAAGGACTCACTATCCCAGCTAGAAGGCCAATTTGACCATCCTTTATCACATGGCTCTCAGGGCACTGGTAAAGCCTTGGGTGTTTTTGCACAAAGAAGCAAAACTCTAATAATCCTTCGGATTGTTGAAGTCACATTAACCTACCCACCCATTTCCCTGATGTTTATCCAACACACATGTAGGGTATCTCATTGGGGTAAGAGTGATAAGCCAACCGCCTCTCCCCTCTCTCATCACTTACCTGCCACTCAATTACAAGAATGTAAGCTCCAAAAAGGCAGTGACATTGTCCTGTAAACCTCTCTGTCCTCATTGTCCAAAAAGATACCTGTCAAATAATAGACATACAATATTTTTTGGAATTGACATTTTAAAGGTTTCTTTTTAATTATCTAAGAGTTAAATTTTCATTTATCGTAACTGAAAATCAATATTTAAATTGATTGAATTTATTGATTTAAATTTATTAAATCCAAATTTTAAATGTTTAAAATTGATGAGTCAATTAATAGCATTGTTATTAAATAGAGTTAAAAACTGCTTCCAGGGAGTGGAACTCTAAGGAAAGGAATGCTGTTTTTTAAATGCAATCTTTACCACTTTCACTTTTGGGTTATTTACAATTGCCTTGATTTTCTAATTCACAGGTTTAAATTATACATATTCCCAACATCATAATACAACTACTCATTTTTGTGTATGACCTGCCTTCTTCATCAATATATACATGTATTTGTATTAGTATGGTTGTCTGCAATCACAGACAACTTATTGTCTAATTATAGTCAACTTATTTTCACTTAACCTACTGTTTCAGCTATCATAGACGGCGTTCCGTTCCGTGTTTCTAGTCTTCATCATTACCATGTTAACGTCTGCATGATATTACAACCTGTCAGAGTAACATAATTTAACTAAATACCCTAAAGTGAACCATTCAGGGTTGTTTCCATTTTTCCATTGAAAATAATGCAGCAATCAGGTTGTTTGTTCTTTGAATCATATAGTTGAATCATACTCTGGGGCTCCGCCTACAGGTCCGAGTCAGACTAAGGACTGAGGACGACCAAAGAGCGCCAGCGTGACCCCGCCCCCGGGGCGGGTCTTGGGCGGGGCCGCGCACGTCCCCGTCCCGCGTTGCGTCACCAACGTCCCGCCCACCTGAGCCTGGCGTGCGGCGTGCGGCGTGCGGCGCGCGGGCAGCCGCTGCAGCGCCGCCGACTGTTTCGGGCCCTGGGAGCGCGGAAGCCGGGCGCGTCGGCTATGGCTCTCTGGGCTGTTGCCGAGCTCTGGGTGCTGAACCCGCTGCGCGCTCTGTGGCTCACGCTGACCGCCGCCTTCCTGCTGACCCTGCTGCTGCAGCTAGTGCCGCCCGGCCTGCTCCCGGGCTGCGCGCTTTTCCAGGACCTGATCCGCTATGGGAAAACCAAGTTTGAGGGGCCGTCGCGCCCGGCAGCCTGCCGGGTCTTTGATGTCCCCAAGAGGTAACCGCGCCCCGGCTCGAGCCCGGGAAGCCGAGGCGCGGAGAGCCCGGGGCGCCCGGCTCGGGCAGCCGGCAGGGGGCAGCAGAGGCGGGCTCGGGGCCGGCGCGGCCCGGGCCCGGGAGGCCCTGACGGGTCTCCGGGCGCGGCGCTGCCTCGGCGGGGCGGCCCGGCACTGCCGCGTCCGCGTCGTGGCCCAGGGGGCGGAATACCCCGAGGATGCTGAGCCCCGCGTGAACGTGAACTTGTGGCCGCACGGAGTCTTTCCCTCGGGGAAAGTGGCAGTGCTTCCGAATGTAGGCCTGGTCCCCAGGCGTCAGGTTAAAGCCTTTTGGTCCCCAATTCTCCTTTTTCCCCCTCCCCTGCACTCTAGAGCTCATAATCTAACTTGAGGTCACCCGCTTGCAGAAATGAGGGCAGGCCGGCCCTTCGCGCCTCTTTTCCCCATTTGTCTCTCCGACCCTCAAAGAACGAGGGGCGAGCCGCTGGTCACAGGGGCGCCACCTCCTTCGTCTGCACCGACCCTCCTAACTAGCACCGTGGCGGGTGCCACTGGAGAAGGTAGCCCAAGAGTGCACAATTTTGGCAGGCCTGACCCCGAAGCTTTGACTTTCAACAGGTTTCATAACCAAGTTCAGTGAAAGATTTAATCGTTAGGACTTATGTAGGATTCTTTCAGAAATTGTAAAGATTTGTTATAGTTTGCTTTTGTTTGGGGGTTTTTATTTTTTTTACTTTGAATTCAGAACATAGCTGGGAAGAGTCAGCCAAACACTTCTAGAGGGTAGGAAAACAGCAGTGGCTCTTCTGAGTTTAAAGTGCATCTAAAGTTGACATTTAGAAAGGAAACTGGAGGAACGTGATAAGGTTTCAAATGTATTAAAACACCAGGGTTACCGCTTGAACCTCAGAGACAGTGTCCCAGGTCCACAGACAAGAATGGGGCTGAGTATAACTTGGCTTCTGAAACGTGGATAACCGCCCCCCCCCGCCCCCGCTTTTGTCTGTTGGAGAAAGATTCATCAGGTGTTAACCCTGAGAAGGAAGAACTAGGTCATTCACAGGAAGAGGAAAGGGAATGAGGCCCTGGGAAGAGGTAGAAGTATTTAGGACAAATTAGTCAAACCCCCTATCTATTAGAGGCTCTTTTTAAGCAAAAACTATCCATCCTATTTTTAATCAAGTTTGATTGCAATACGTCCTTTTTCTGCTTTACACCAATGGCATTCTCAGGTTATCATTTTTTAATGTTATAAAGTGAAGAAAAAATATTTCTTACTGTGAATTCTAACAATTTGTTTTCTAAATTTTGAAAAAGGTATTGGTGTCCCTAGATTAAAGGACACATTTCAAATCATTCCCTGCGCTCAGCCGATTCTCTGGCTCCCATTCCCCAGCTGTTAGTGCTTAAGCACATGATTATATGACAGCTAAGAAACAGATTTGGTACCTTTCCTTTATTCATTACTACTTTTTGGGCTTGTTGTAATTTCTCCCATAATTTACACCTTTTTCTTCTTCCAGAATTCTAGAGTAGAACCTCCCATGATGCCCAAGTGATGTTTTTGGGAGTGATGTTTTGTTTTTTTCTAAATTTAAACCATTTCTTTTAGTATTGGAAGAAGATACAGCAAGTCCAGGCCAAGAAAGAAAGACAAATATGCTTAGGTACTATATTTAAGTATTTTTCCTTGTGCAAAATCCAGTCGTACTCTTAAAAGTGAAAATAAGCCTGTAATTTTTACACATAGATGCAGCTGTAAATCATATTTCTGCATCTAAAATGGTGCTTAAGTAATTTTGTTTGGAGTTGTTTTTTTCTAAGAAGGCAGGAATAAAACCTTAAATCAGCTCATGGCATGTTCCATTCCATTACCACTGCTGGGTAGGGTTTTTTCCTAAATTAAGGTGATGGTACTTTTCTTGTTTTCCTTTTGGCTCATAGATTATTGATTTCCCAGAAAATCTGAATAAATAGGTGATGTCCAACATAAGTCACAATGCTCTTGACTTGTGTAATGTGTATAGAAGTACTTTTGCTTCTGAATTTCAAAATGGTATCAAAGCATTGCAATTGAATTGAGCTCTGGAGGCAAAGAGCCATCCAGACTTTTCTCCAGGGGTTCAGCAGTCCTAACCAGAGGTCTAGAGGACCTGTGGACAGAATTCAGGGCAAACCTAGATTAGAAAAAAATTACATCTTCATTTCACTAACCTCTAGCCAAAATTCAGCATTTTCTTAATGATAAATGTAATCAACGAACCACTGTGGAATTAGCAGTACTTGCGATACTGTGACAGGTATTTTTTTTTTTATTAATGTCACATTAAAAATATTGAAGAGACATCAAAACATTTTCATCGCCACAAGAATAAATCCCTAGATCTTGTTATTTGATGCAGTAATTAAGCACATATATTACTATATCACAAATTTCTTTTTTTAGTAGTTGTGTTACCTATATTTCAATATAATTGGTTTCCTTGGTAATCCCTATGTCTTTTATGATTGAAGTAACATTTTGAGAAGTGGCCAGTAGCCTTCACCATACTGCCAATGGAGTCCATGGAAGAAAAATGTTAAGAACCCTTGCTCTAGACGATAAACTGGCCATAAGTTTACATTTGTCTTGTTTGTTACCATATCCCTGGTTCAGTGCCTGACAAATAATAAGGTCCTTGATCACTGTGTTTTGAATTAATTTTAAGAGAAAGAAGGTTTAGGTTTAGTTGGTTTGTTGATTAACTTAACTGCTTAACCAGTGTTTATAGAGTACTTAGGTGCCAAGAGCTTTTGTTCTTATAAGAGGCAGTAAATATGTAAACAAATCTTACAAAACAAGATGATTTTGGGTAGTACTAAGTGCCTCAGAGGAAATCCAGCAGGATTACTTGATCATGAGCAAAATGAGGTAGCCTTGACAGTGACAACACTGGAGAGGACCAGCAGGGAGGGGTGGGTCAGGGAGGGTGGGGCAGGGGGAGAGGCAGGGCCATAGTGGAGATGGGATTTTATTCTGAGTGTATGGAAAGCCATTGATGGCTTTAGGATGGGGAAGGAGGCATGGCATGATGAGATTCATGTTTTGAAAGGATGACTAGCCACTGTGTGGAGAAGACTGAATAAGAGGCTGTTATGATGGTCCAGGCAAAAGGCAGTGGTATGGCTTAGAGTGCTCACATAGTAACACCTCCCTGTCATATAGGTGGTGATGACATTAAAGCACTTAGCACAGGCCAGGCACCTAGTCAGAACTCAGTAAACATTAGTTCATTTCCTTAGTTAGCCCCATAACTCCCCTAATGGGGCCTTGGCTCCATTCCAGCTATCAGCAAATATGTATTATTAGATCCTGCCTCCTGGCTCAGAATCATCCAGTGGCTTCCAACTCACAGAGAGAGCGCAAGACCCTATATGGTTTTGTTTCCAGCACCTCACTGACTTTGTGTCCTATAGTTAGCCCCCCATGTGGTGCCAGTCCAGTTCTGTAGGCCTCTCTGCTAGTCTTCTTTCCCACCTCAGGGCCTTTGCACTGCCTGTTCCCTCTATCTGGAAAGCTCTTCCCCCATATAGCCGCATACATGGTTTATGTCCTTACTTCCTATATTCTACTCAAATATTACCTTCTCAATGAGATATTGCCTATCCACCCTGTTTAAAAGTATAATGCTACCACCCCCCATATTCCTTCTTCTCTTCCTGGCTTTCATTTTCTCACTAACAGTTATCGCCTGCTGGCGTGCTATAAATTTTACTTTTGTGTGTGAGTGTGAGTATAAGTGCCATGAGGGTTGGAATTATCTGTTGTTTTCTGTATCCCTAGAGCAGTCCCTAACTTCTAATTAGCACTGAAATATTTATTAAAGGAGTGCTTGCCTGGTGCCAAATCCTGTGTTTCCATAAGGATCACCTTATCCCTCTTCCCACGGGCTTGGAAAACAGTGCTACAATTAAGCAAAGTGCCAAGGGAGGAAAAAGAGGGAGAATGTCTAAAACAAAGAGTGGAGTTCTTAGATCTGTTGTTTGAGGCTAAAGCTGGGTCTTTTTAAAAAGCAAGAGATTTATAGAGTAGAAGATGTTTCTCACAGAGGGAAATCAGGCAAGCCAAACAAGAGATAGAATGTACAAAACGTAGGAATAAGAACAGCAGTTTGCCCGTGAATCAGAAACAGCAGGGCGCAAGTAGGGCATAGCAAGATGTGGCTTAGCAGCTTATACCAAACCCATTTGGGGGGTTGGTTGACTTTAAGCTTGGTATAAATTGGCACGTGTAATATAAAGACAGAAAAGCTCAGGCTCGGGCGGGCCTAGGTTGCATGAGTTACAAGTGCCACGGCGTAGGGGCATCTGGGTGGTTCAGCTGGTTAAGTGTCCGAATATTGTTCTCAGCTCAGGTCTTGGTCTCGGGGTCGTGAGTTCTGTGTTGGGCTCCATGCTGGGCGTGGAGCCTACATTTAAAAAGGAAAAATTTAAAAAGGAAGTACTGCAGTGTGATTTTAATTTCAGAGTCATCCAGGCTGAGTCTGGAGCTAAATGCTGCCACTTACTGTGTGACCTTGGATACGTAACTTAACATCTGAGCCTTTGTTTTCTCATCTGCCCGGTGAAGATAACCAAATAAACTTTACAGGATTGTTTCTGCCTACTTACTGGAGGGATTTCTTTTTAACTTTAAAAAGAGTGAAATGAATAAGCAATGCTTTGTGTGTGTGTGTGTGTGTGTGTGTGTGTGTGTGTGTGTGTGTGTCTGGTGAAATATACATGGCATAACACTTAACATTTAACCCTTTTCAGGTGTACAGTTCATTAGTTTTGAATACATTCACATTGTTGTGCAGCCATCACCACTATCAGTTTCCAGAACTTTTCCATTAGCCAGAAGGATTTTAAAACAGAAGCTATTTAAGTCACTCTGCACAAATGGATAAAAGCCAGTGTCCTTGTCACACAGTTGTCCTTTATTGTTCCTCAGAGCCTTTGTGGTTGTCATTACCTCTGCCTAGAAAATTCTTTCCACTAGAAGTTTACTGGGATTATTCATTCTAGCCAAATATCCACTTCCAGAGAGACCATCCTTGACTACCCATCCAAATGGCCTCCCCTCTGCACCCTTTCTGCCCGCTAGCCCAATATTATACTAGATAACTATGGGTTCATTTGTTGACCGTATGCTGAAAGGTAAACATCAAGGCAGAGACCTGGTCTGTTTGCTCCCTGCTGAGTTCCCAGATCCTAGAACACTGCCCAGCACGTTCTAAGCTCTCAAATATTTGTGAAGAAAGGAAGTAGGTAGAGTGGCTGGCCCAGAAGATGCTTTTCAAAAGTCGGCCCCTCCCCTTTGCTTGGAAGCCTTCAAAGCAAGGTCCTACTGACGTTCTGTTCTGCTCCTGCAGCTCGCACCATACCTGGCCTCAGTTCTAGGAAGTGTGTCTTAAGAAAGACCGTGAAAGGCAACCAAAAACCAATGGCCAGGTGGGGGAGGGAGCATTGGAAGTGACACAGGTGAACTTTTGAGGAAACTAAGCTCTTAAGCCGGGAGAAGATTGGAATCAGGAACAACAGGCTAGCTCAGCAAGGGCAGATCTAGTGATAGAATTTGTTAACAGTAGTTGGAAGAATTAAGTGGGTTGCTCTGGAATGATCAGATTAGATCAGTATTTGTCAGACTGGGTTGTGGGCATGGTCTGGGGAGGGGAGGGGTAAACTAAATTCTGATACAAACATCTAGATCATCTGGAAGAAGAATGAATCCCTGCGCTCGATTTACTTTGTTGTGACGAGGAGGAAGCTTAATACAAAGTGCTGTGTTGAAGACCAGGGAGGACTCCTTGCAGAGTCAGAAAGATTTTGAATTGATTTAAATAAAGAAAACTAGGAGAAAGATAGTTAAAGGGACCTCAGAAGAACCTGTGGTAGGTCTTTGTGCCATAGTTGGTGATTCCATTCCAGTAAACCAGCGTCCTCTTTCACATTAAAGTAACCTTGCTAATTTCAACGTCCATTGGCTCTGGTTTTATTTGGGTTTCATTTATAACTGTTGATTGCAAAATAGGCACTGTACTTGGTGAGAGGTGTAACCATCAGGAGTTGATCCCTCGTTTTATGAGTTAAAATTTGTCATGTTATTATAAAACTAATTTAGGTCAACACAATTTAGGAAAACACAATCAGAAGACCTTTAAGATTTCTGGCAGCCCTGAGAGCTTGTGGTTTTGCAAATCTTGTGTAACAGCTGGATGGCTATTGCAGCAACATTGCTCAGGATTTAGAAATCTTTCACACATTTGGCTTGTGTTGGCACAATCTAGGTTCTCTTTGCCAGGGTCTGGTGCCCCCTCTGTTGGAACTTGAGCCAATCCTGTTACCCAGAGATAAGAGAGATTGCTAATTGACCCTCTATCCACGTTTAACAAGGTCAATCACGTTCTTGTTAACCTCCGGAGGCCTCTTTTTCCTGAGTTAACGGGTCCCATCATTTGAAAGGAGATTTTTAAAAGTCTGAACCCCTGCAGGATTCAGGTTCTATTAAAAAACAAAGCTGTAATTCGGGAAAGGGGGAAAGAGGCTCTGGAGCCTCAAAGTAGTCTTCCTGCATAATGCTTTCAAGTGGACCTCCTCTGATGATCGCCTAACTGGTTTAACCTTGCAGGTATTTTTCTCACTTCTACATCATCTCAGTGCTGTGGAATGGTTTCCTGCTTTGGCACCTTACTCAGTCTCTGTTCCTGGGAGTGCCTTTTCCAAATTGGCTTCACGGTCTGCTCAGAATTCTCGGGGCTGCCCAGTTCCAAGGTACGACTCCACTGGCTAGTTAACAACCGTTTCGTCCAGTTCCTGCCTTTCCTGCCTGCAGGGAGCTGTTCCTGGTATTTCACAGCCTCCCCCAGGCTCCTTCTCTGTGTGCCCAGGAAGTAGAGGGTGAGGGCAAAAAAAGAGTTCTGCATGGTTCCTAGCCTGGTGGCCACTGGGATGTCTCCATGTCCCTCACTGAGATCCCAGCAGACTGAGAGTCAGCTCTTCCGTCCCTGCCTTCCCAGCAAGTGCTGTGCTGTGTACAAGACTGGCTGTTCTCCCTCTGATATTTTTAGTACTATCGATAAATTTATACAGAAGTCTTTACACTTCAGGGGAAAAGCTCTTAGGATCCGTCAGGTTTGCCTTGAAACATTTGTCATTTCTCTAGTTGAAGCAAGTAATGTCCCAGGATCCCAGAAATATAATAGAAAATTACTCTTGATCACCAGTTAAAAATGTTTGTTATACTGGAAGCGTTAGTTGTGTAATAAAATTGACTCTAAATAGTTGTTGACCATGTGATTATAAAGTAGCGTTTAAATTCACCTCACTCTACTTCGGATAAAGGATACATGGAACAATTTGAGAAATCAGGAATTGAAGGTGAAAACCATAAGGTGGCCTCAATGTCAAGGGAGAAGGTGAGGGCAGAATTAGAAACAAACTGTACTGGTGCTGTCTCTGTCCTTTGTTCCAGCAGCCAAACCACTGGCTCCAGGGGAACAATCCTTTTCTGTATAACCAGAGGAACTCGTTGCAAAAGATGACAGCCAGAGGGAAGACCTCTGCAGATCCTATTTGGGAGGGGTGGAGACCTTAGCAGATCCCTCTTCACCCATTAAAACTTCATCTCTCCCTTTGTTTACTGTGGGGCTAGCTGGGGTTCTGGAATTTGGAAGGTTGGTTGTGAGGAGTTTTATTCGTGTATTTGTTTTAACCCTTTCCTCAGTTAAAACTAGGGTTTACTGTATTTAAAAGAGAAAAACAGCCAAAGCTATTCTGTACTTCTAGAAGTCTGGATAGGGCTTACCCTTGGGGAGGGGGAGGGGGAGGCAGTGCCTGGAGCAGAGACAAAAGAGTGCTGGTTGTGTTCTGTTTCTTCATCTGGGTGCTGGGTATATGGGTGGAATAGGATGGTTTAGTTTGTAAAAATTCGTTAAACTGTATCCTTATATTCTTATGATGTGTGTGTGTGTATCTGTGTATGTGTGACATTCATTTAAAAAACGTCTAGGTCTGGGGCGCCTGGGTGGCTCAGTCGGTTAAGCGACTGCCTTCTGCTCAGGTCATGATCCTGGAGTCCCGGGATCGAGTCCCACATCGGGCTCCCTGCTCAGCGGGGAGTCTGCTTCTCCCTCTGGCCCTCTTCCCTCTCGTGCTCTCTATCTCTCATTCTCTCTCTCTTTCAAATAAATAAATAAATAAAATCTTTTAAAAAAAAAAGATTTGGAAAAAAAACATCTAGGTGTTATGTCATCTTAAAAACGAGCATTTCTTCCAAATTTTTTTGGCAGAAGGGTGAGAGGCAAGTAGAAAGATAGATCTCAAGGCTCACAGTCCCCTGAAAGTATAATTTTTTCTTTTTGTTGTTGTTGTTTTTGAATATGGAAAGAAATGCATAATTCCCTCTATCTCTGTTCCTATCACCTTTTCTGCCTGTCCGAGTACCTGTGTCTCGTCTCCCCTGACCCAGGGATCCTACCAGGTGGGGTTGTTAGAGGTCATCCAGGCATTCTTCCTGACCATCTGCCTCTGGCTGTTAGTGCCAGGAACCAGAGATCCACAGACATCAGGTTCTGAGTGTACCGACTCCTTCACAGTGACATTCATGTAACCAGAAGGCTTTCACATGACAAAGGAGAGTCCAGAGACCTGAGTTTGTCACTAGTCAAATTCCTTACCCCACTTCCTCATCACTAAAAAAGTGTTAGACTAGATGATTTTTAGGGCCCTCTCTATAACTTTGCATTAATCCCGGAAAGAGAGATGCTAACATGCTGCATTCTGAATTATAGGGGGTGAGCTGGCGCTGTCCGCATTCTTAGTATTAGTATTTCTGTGGCTACACAGCTTGCGAAGGCTCTTCGAATGCTTCTATGTCAGTGTCTTCTCCAATGCTGTGATTCACGTCGTGCAGTACTGTTTTGGACTTGTCTACTATGTCCTCACCGGCCTAACTGTGTTGACCCAAGTGCCCATGGACGGCAGGAATGGTGAGTGGTCCCTGGGGTCTGGTCGCTGAGTCACTGGGCACATGGGTGTGCTGTTCAGGCAAAGCACTCCACCGAGCCTGGCGGAGGTGTGAAAGTAGACCTGCCCAGCCCACTTTGCATTTGAAGAGTTTGAACTCTACTGGCCATTAGAAAAAGTCAACATGCTCAAGGGTATATACGGTAACTATTACAAAATTGCTAAAACCTGAAGGACACTAACATAAGCACTAATGCCCGTGGTAAAGATAGTACAAGTCCCCAGTGTTCAGGAGGCTTGGTGTGAGGATGAAGAATTGGGATGTGGCTCTCCCTTGGTGGGATTGAAGTCCGTGAACTCATGCAGAGTTAACTCTGGAAAGAAAGAGGGAGCACGGTCAAGAGTTGGACAGGAAGCAGGGAAATACCCAAGAACAAGAGGAAGGGTCAGCAAAGACAGTTGCTCCACCAAAGGCTCAGTCTCCCTGGGGTGCGTGTGTGGGAGGGGAAGGGTGATGCAGGATTAAATCTCAGAAACCCAGAGGAGGGAGGGGTGGCCTGGGCCAGCGGTGAACAGTTGTGATTTGAAGAGGGAGTAGAGAGCCATTTCGTTGCCATTTAGTTCGTAGGATGATTCCGATTATAACGAAGCTTTTCTTCAAGGGAGGCAGCCTGAGGGGAGAGGACAAAAGAGTACTGTGGTGAGTCAGACTTATGTTTGAACATTTCTGAGCTCCCACTAGCCAGGAAAAGGGAAGCAAAATCATGACCTTTGTTTATGAGGAGGAAATGAAGTGTGTTTTGGGGAGGGTGGGGGGGAAGGGAGGCTGGAGATCTAACATATAGGACTATCATTTTTGTAAAAACAATGCGTGCTTGTTTCAAATGACTCAAGTCATTTGGGGTGACTGACGTTAGGAGGCTAACTTCACCCTGGACCTTTGGTGTCCATCTGCCCAGACACTGTAGGGCCGACCATTTGTGACTGTTATCTCTCAGTTCAAGTCTCGTGTTTCCTATCCATCCGTGTAAATAGAGACCAAAATCTAGATGTTTCCTGTACTCGCTGAGTGAGCTTTCTCCTCAGGTTTGATTTCAGCATCAGCACAGCCCTTTAAATGTCCTCTCTCTTACTGTAGTACAACCCAAGGCCTCTATGGCTTGAGGAATGACTAGAGTACGATTTAGTAATGATCTTTATTAATTCATGAATTATTTATTGGCCCCAACCACTCAGCTAGCATCTCTCCATCTGATTCCGCTGAATTTAATCAAGTCAGTGTTTCCTCCCTGAGCTTTCTGCTGTGGCATTCATGTGCAGCCCACATCAAGGTTTGAACTGTTATTTGTGGTGAACAGTACTAGAATTTCCACCCAAAGGAGCTTTCCAAAACACGCGGCTAACCCACTAGCTTTCAGTCTGTTGGCCACTGTTGGCATTACATATCTCTTCCGGAGCTTTGTCTGCTAGCTCGAGCTCAACCCCAGCTTCTGCCCTCCCTCCCATATAAAGAGTCAAGAAAAGGCAGCGGAGACACCCACAAAAATCGCTTTCTAGACACTCCTTTCTGAAGCTGTCTTCTGCTTCACCTACTTGTCTTTCAAGAGGTCATATGCAGGCATTTGGGACAATATGGGTAGAACTGGTTTCAGGAATTCGTTGAGAGAGAACACACTGGGGCATTTGCCAGCGGTGGAGTCTGATAGGAATAGCCTGGGCTTGGGAGTCGGGGGGCCTGAGTCTGAATTCCGGCTTACTTAACCACCCTGAACCTCAGAACCTTCATGTGTAATCAGGGACGCATCCCGATTTCAGAGGGTTCTTGTGAAAAGGAAGAGAAAGAATGTCTGTAAGCTGCCCAGACCTTCTCATCTCCGGGTCTTCCTGCAGCCAGTCTCCATTACACTGTTGTATTTTATTTTCTCCAGAGTGCCCTCTCTACCTGAACTTGTCTTGGTTATCGATCTGCTGACTCATTTCTGTCTGTCCCTTGCCACTGGAACGTGGGGTCCTGAGGACTGAGATCTTGCCTTACTTACTCACTGCTTTATCCCTTGTGCCAGATGCCAGGCTCAGGAGACAGTCAGTAATTAATGAATAAACAAAGAGTTAAATACTACACAGATTGGACTCTCAACCTACCTGCCTCCCTTTTCCTGCATTATAATTCCAACTTACTCTTAGGAATCTTACCCTCATAGGTACTTTCTCAGATTCAGAGTAGGTGACTTGGCAGCGATGGGAACTCTCCAACACTTGCTTCAGTTTTTAATCCTAAAATGACTTGCTCTTAAAGCCCTCCAATTTAAAACTATTTTTCATATTTTGTTTTTTTTTAACCTGTAAAAATATAACCTTTTCATTAAATGGCTGTCTAATAAACATTAAGAGTCTATAGTAAACTGTTTATATAGGGCAAGTTTTTAAACGAAATTAACACAGGTAGACATTGGTGGACTCTCATTAGTCATTAGCTGTCATCACCTGAGTCCTACCTCCAGGTCCCCATACGGAATCGCATGATTCTTGGTTCTCTTACCTGAATCAACCCTGTAGGGGCTGTCTCTGGGCTCCAGACCCTCAGGCTCTTCCCCACAGTCAATCTGCAGTCAGTGGACAGCTTTGTTTCTTCAGTCAAGTTCCTAACTAGCCTGACTGCTTCCTGCTGATCATAAGGAAGTCCTTAATTTGCTTTCCTGATGCCAGTCCTCAGAAGACCTGCATTCTTCCCGTCTTCTTGGTAGCTGAAGAAGAAAGAGGAAGATGATACTTTGAGTGTTTCTACTTCTGAACTAAATCTAACATGGTTCTCTAATCAGAAGGGGATACCATTTGTGTTTTCATCTTGTAGTCTATGATTCTTCTCTTTTGAGGTGCCCCACTGTGAGCCTTTACCTCCAGGGGTTTTCTTCATTGGCTGGAGCCAGTCAAGTCAGTGTTCTGGATTCAGGGTCTCCCCTGAATGGCTTAGGGTGGAGGCTCAGGGTGAGATTCCTTTAGAAAGTGTTTTCCTGACAGTGGACTGTAAGAAAGAAGACATAAAACTGGGCTTAGAAATAGAAATGCAAAGCGGCCTCACCACACAAGGGTGCATCACAAGAGAAGCAGACAGAGCCAACCTCTGTGCTTGAAGCATTTGAAGTAGGAGCAGGAGAATGTGTCCATGGGGCACTCTCTGTCAGGGGCCACTGAAGCTGCCCCTGGCTGAGGAGCATACCCCTTCACCCACAGGACAGTGCTCTCCCCTCCAGACTTGGCAAATTATGTCAGGATAATTTTCTAGTCGTGAGGAACAGAATAAGTGGATAATTGTGTTCTGCTAACTGTATGATTCTACTAACTGTATCATGTACTGAGCCTCTGAAATTTTGCCGTCTTGCTAATAAGCTATTTCTTTTTTTCTGTAGTCTATGTGATAGGGAAAAATCTCTTGATGCAAGCTCGGTGGTTCCATATCCTCGGAATGCTGATGTTTATCTGGTCATCTGTCCATCAGTACAAGTGCCATGTCATTCTTGGCAATCTCAGGAAAAATAAAGCAGGTGAGAGGCCTTTCAGAGCCACTGCATGTGGGTTTTAACCCTTAGAAGTTAGTTGTCCCTCTTCCTTTATTTTTTTCCCCTTCTGCCCTAAATTAATTGACTCCTCTATCAAATGCTCATTTTTGACAAGACACCTCTCTGGGTCTTGTTCTTCCCCTTTGTAAAATGAGAGCATTATGCTCAAAGATTTCCCCAGCCCCAGACGAACCATGAGAGACGATGGACTCTGAAAAACAAACTGAGGGTTCTAGAGAGGAGGGGGGTGGGGGGATGGGTTAGCCTGGTGATGGGTATTAAAGAGGGCACGTTCTGCGTGGAGCACTGGGTGTTATGCACAAACAATGAATCATGGAACACTACATTAAAAACTAATGATGTAATGTATGGTGACTAACATAACAATAAAAAAAATTTAAAGAAAAAAAAAAAGATTTCCAGCCCCATCTAGCCCTGACATTCTGTGACTGTTCTGTGCCTACATCTGGGGGCCTGCATGGCAGATACGTGCCTAACCAGCACGTGAGCATTCATATTACCACGCTGAGTTAGTGTCATTCCAACCACAGTAAAAAAAGAAAAAAAAAAAAAAGCCTTGACTTTTTAGTTAGCTTGTGTTGACTTATCACAGGTACAGTTTTTATTAGGTTTTTAGAAATATTAAAAATGGAATAATACTATTCAGCATTTATCAAGTACTTATTCTGTGCTGGACCCCGTTCCTGGTGCTTTACACACAGCCTCACAGTGCTTACCTGAGGTGGGGATAGTCTTCGCCTCCCTTGACAAATGAGGAAGCTGAGGCACAGAGATGTTAGGCAACTTTTCTAAAGTTCCACAGCATGTAAGTGGTAGAGTCAGGATTTGAACTCACGCAGTCTGACTTTGCAGTCTGAGCTTTTAATGACTAGCTTGGAGGCCTGGTGGAGAAACAGGCTTTCCTCTGTGCTTATTTTCAGTTGATATTGTAACCTAAGCATGTAACTTTTTAATACATAGTAGGTTGACAGTGAAAGTGTGACAGGAAGTGGGTTTGCACTCAGGTCGGCAATCCTCTTTTTAAATGACTTGGGGCCTGAGGTGGTAAACTCTCTTTCCACAACTTCATTTGTTCAGGAAGTCTTCTGTTTCTGTTTCAGGAGTGGTCATTCACTGTAACCACCGAATCCCTTTTGGAGACTGGTTTGAATACGTTTCTTCCCCAAACTACTTAGCAGAACTGATGATCTACATTTCCATGGCTGTCACCTTTGGATTCCACAACTTAACTTGGTGGCTAGTAGTGACATATGTTTTCTTCAGCCAGGCCCTCTCTGCTTTCCTCAGCCACAAATTCTATAAAAGCAAATTTGTCTCCTATCCAAAGCATAGGAAAGCTTTCCTACCATTCCTGTTTTAAGACAACCTCAGTCATGAAGCATGCAAACCAGGTGACAGGTTCAATTCCTCAGGACAACAAAGTCTAGGGACCAAAGCGCAGTTTCTGCAGAACTGTTTGAAACTCTGTGTTTCATTTCTACACCCAAAAGTCTTCACTGAATGAGCAAAGCAAGACCCCTCAAGAAACTGAATCTTCAAAGAAGAAATCCTTCTGGCAGGCCTGGGAGTACTGTGTCTGCCTTCCGAGATGCTTTATAAAACCAACCAACTGCTAACAAGTAGATGAGACTTCTCCAAGCTGCCTCACAAGCAAACTAACCAAGAATATAAAACGGCTTCACACATGCATGTACATCCCCAGAGGAGGAGATGAGACCATCTGTGGCTTTTTGTCAGGGACAAATGAGCTGGACTACATAATAAGCAATATAGTAGGTGCTCAGTAACTGCTGCATTTCAGTAAAAGCAGAAGAGCTTTTGAAAATAACAATATATAATTCCACACCAACAGATTTAGGGGGAAATGAGTTTGTTGGAGATAGTTTATACTTTCACATACGGCCACAAAGATTTCCGGTTATGTAACCAGCAAGAGTGGTTTCCACTCAAATCATAGGAAACCTCTTTTATTTAATACTTTTTTTGACATGCCTTTCAAGGAAGTACCTTAAAAGTGAAAGCATCTGAAAATAAAATATTTTTGTATTTATGTGTAAAGAGCCTTCATGAATGGACTGACCTTCGCTGCAGATGGGCTAGTGCTATAGCCTCGTTCATATGGAGTTACTCCACTGGATTAAGGTTTGCCTGAGTTTAACTATTGAACTATTTTAATAAAGTGAATCTGAAGATTTTTAGGAATAAAACAGTAAAACAGTTTATGTTCAGGAAAATAGCCATGATAAATCAAAGGGAAATAAATGGATGGTTTAAAAGAAAAACAAGAACTTGAAAAGTAACACTGCAACCTGAGCAACGCTGTAAAAACTGCACATTTGTGCAGCGTAAGATTTACTGGCTTGGTGACTGAGGTATTAACTTGATGGCTTTTGTGCAGGTATCATATTATAGTCTACTAGCTACTGAAGTTTGGCACTAACAGGTACCTTGCTATGGGAGAAAGAACCTCATTATTAATCAGACACATAATCAAATGCAGTCTGAAAACGTCCTCCCACCCTCATCCCTGGAGTAGTAAACCAAAGCTGTTAGACTGAGATTCTGCTTAATCTAAACTTTCAATATAGGCATATGAAAGCACATTCTAAAGTTGTTAATTCTGCTGTAACTTTTTCTCTCCCATCCATCAAATACCGCTTCAATCATTTGCTCAGTCTATTCCAAAAATGACATTTATTTCATTTATCATTTAGGTGCGCCATCCTCAGGACCAGGACTCAGGAACCAAACTTTCCACATGAGAAAATATAAAGCATATTGCAGTTTGGTCTTAATTTCCACACAAATGGCACGAATAATTTTTAAAAACAAACTATTTGGGGGAAAAATGTATTTTGCTTTAGCATGTCATTTCATACCTAAGTTAGTCTAGGAATTTGAATGATGTTCTGGAATTTTCTTGACTTAAGTAAAATGATGATAGGCCCATGAAGAACCCTACCAGGGGCTGTTAGAAGGCATTCCCAGTTCCCAGTGTCCTCGTCTCAAGCCTGCCGTCCCCTACTGTCCCCTACTGTCCGTCACCCTCGCTCCCATGTCTTTTACTTTCCCCTCTCCCTTCCTTGCCCAAACACTGCATTTCCAGGTGAGGGCTAAAGAGGAAGTAGCGATGTCCTCAAAGGGGTTCAGAACAAAGTAGCGTGGTCTTGGATGAAAGCTTAACCATGGAGAACATTTGAGAATTGTGCCGTGCTTGCGAGATCACAACTGGCATTGTTCTGTGTGGTAGTGAAAATGCTCTGTGTGCCCAAATGGAGAGCGCGGGCAAACCCGTCCGTCCGTGGAGAAGCCAGAAATAGGTTGGAGGTGGACACTCTTGATCTTCCTGCCGCCCTAGTGGCAGAGCTTCAACCTGTCATTCTGTTGCTACTAAGTTAGGGGAAATGACACCCGACTACCTCCCAACAGCATTTCCTGGACTAACTACCGATTGTAAAAGTGTGCTGAAAATAGCCTTTGTTTTTGTTACGTCTCCAAGTTGTAGCTCATCCTCTATACTAACATTTGCCGTCGGTAAGTGTGGATCATTTTGTCTCCACAGGAACATGTCCTGTGTTATGTTTTTAATATAATGATTGCTAGAATTCCTACCAAGAAAGAGGGGGCCTTTGCAGATATTTTTATATGATACTTAGTAGTTTAAGGAGACTGTAAATTTTTGTGTAACTACCTGAGAATTCAAGGACATTGATAAGTAATGTACCTCAAAGTGAACCAATACTTGAAAGAAGATCTTAAAATAGCAAATGAGCAAGTAGAAATGTTTTACACCTGCCTAAAGCAATTTCTGCCCACATTGCTTATCAGGGGGAAAAAATCATTTAACTGGTTTTATAAATTACATATATTAGTCTAACCCTCTTAAGATTTTTCTAATAAATGGACAAGAAACAGGGGAGCTGGCAATGACCCACAAATAATTCATGCTACACATACTTCATCATGTTTCTCAAATTTCAGTGATCTAGAAAGCCAGGTATTGATTTTAGGGAAAGCAAAATTTAATTATCCAAGTAAAAACTGAATGATAAAGAGCTACTCTATGCACATAACTGAGAAAGTTTTGTATTGAGTCTCTTCCTTGAAAAAGATTCTTGGGACGCCTGGGTGGCACAGTCGGTTGAGTGTCTGCCTTCAGCTCAGGTCATGATCCCAGGGTCCTGAGATCCAGCCCCGAATCAGGCTCCCTGCTCAGTGGGGAGCGTGCTTCTCCCTGTCCCTCTGCCCCTTCCCCATGCTTGTGTATGTGCTCTCTCTCTGTCAGGTAACTCAAAATATTGGAAGGAAGGAAGGAAGGAAAAGATTCTCAACTCTTGAAGCATGTAGAGGACAAAAGAACCCAAGGGATTTGTCAGCAGAAAGACAAACCTACCTCCTGAGTCTAGCCCTCTGGTAAAACTTCATAGCACGTGTGCAGTTTTTATTAGGGCTCCTTGGCCTATACAACACCTTTCTGGGAATTAGAAAAGATAGCACTCAGAACATCCCCATGGTAGCAGAGCATGAACCGTTTTAGGCACAAAAGGCCGCTGGTGATGGGACCACCGCCCAGTGAGCAGAGCTCAGGCTGCATCTCAGCCCCACTCACACTTTGTGCCTGCCATCCTTTGTGCAGTGTTCAACGCACAACCTTCCATAGCCTAGAGACCAGGTTTGCTGTGCTGCCTATCTCTGCAGATTCTATTCACTCTTGGGAAAAAAAAAAAAAAAAAGACTTGATTTCATGGAATCATCTCATTGAGAAAGAAGAATAAAACTAGGAGAAGGTGGAATTAATCAGTCTATGCAAAACATCTGTTCTTCCCCTTACAAAAAGGGGAGTCTAGTGGACAGCAGGTGAGTGACCCTCAAACAATAGAATGTCGGTTTGGATGCTAGAATTCCAGTCCCAAAGAGAGAAAATATTTTGCTTCCTTTCTCACTGCCAACTCCTGTCTTTCCAGCTCATTGTTCTAGGACTACAACCCCAACAGTCTTGCCACCCTATTGGGACCTCCAATCTATTGGTCTCATGGCATTTTTTTTGTCCTTCACCCATAAGTCTTCTCTAATCTCCTTACCCTGCTTGAGTTCCAGGAAATCACTATCATCATTCCTTCATATATATCTTCAACTCTTGCCTTTTACATTACCTCTTCTGATTCAGCAAAACCACAACCCTGGTTAGATTCAACTCTTCCCCTGGGTGTGTGCCCACGCAACTGAACAGTGGCTGGAGAAATACAATCCATAGACAGTTCACTTCAAATTCATGACCACTAACCTCAAGTGGTCTTGCATGCTGCAGTCACAATAAAATTCTCTAGTCCGTTCCCTCTCCCACTCTGCTGACTGTGTTGCATCTCTGTCCCCAGGAAATGAAGCTACTGGAAGAGAACCCCCCCACAGGTTACCACTACCTCCTCCACCCACCTAAGCCATCTGTTCCTCCATACGCTACTTTCCCTCGTTACTATTATTGAAGGATACTTTTTTTAAATGTAAAATCATGATTCTCATACAAATATAAAATGAACATGTGCCAACAGTTTTACTTAACTCATTAAGTAAGGAAGGAACCAGTTTAAAGAGTTCCTAAAAGACACATACATGGATAACGAGGCATGCCAAAATGAATGTAATAGATGCAAATTAATTGCTCAATAGTTGTAAAACTAGCGTCTCCAGCATGGGAGGGAAAGCAATTGTGCCCCCATCAGACAAAATCCATTTGTATGTCTATGAAATTATTTGCATTCCTATCAATTGTCTATGAGTTGTGAAACAGCTCAACGACTAGGGTAGAGAACCCACAGAGTGTGCTAGGAAGGACACCAGTACTATTTTTTGCTCACTTCGAAGTCATTACAATTTTTTCCTGAAACTATAAACAATCTCTCTGGATTTCTTCCCAAAGCTAGGTTCCCTCCTTGAGCACTAGATTCTACCCAAGGAGAATGCTTAGCCATTCTTCTCCCCCTAGATCATCACATGTTTGCCCTTTCCTCAACATTTCTAGAAGTGGACAAATACCTTTTTAGAACCTTCTAACCCCATGTCCGGTCTCAGGACCTTAAATACTGTTTATATGCTGCCAACTCCTGTGTTTATATATCTGGCCTAAACATCACTGCTGCACTCTAGGCTCACATACCCAGTTGTCTACTTAACATCTCTACTTGATGTATAATCGCTCAAGTTGTGACATGACTAAGAGTTTCTGATTTTCCATCCCCCCACACCTGATCCACCTACAGTCTTAGTACTTTTTACTTTCTCAAACCAAAAATGATGGCATCTTCTTGACTCTCCTTTCACACTCCACAAACCGATCCGTGGTTCTACCTTCAGAATCCATCCAGAATCCATCCCTGTTACCATAACTCTACTCACTACCATCTTGATCTGAGCTACCATCATTCCTTGCCTAATTTACTGCAACAGACTCCCAATGGGTCTCCCTGCCTGCTCCTGATTTTCAATACAAGCCAGAGTGATCTTTTAAAAACCTGTATCAGATCATGTCATACTATCTCAAAACCTTGCAACAGCTCCACTTTCCCTCAGATAAAGGCCAAAGTTCCTATGATAACCTCCTAGCCCCCACACGACCTGGCCCCCGGTCACCTCTCTTACCTCATCTCCTACTTGAGCCCTCATCCACTCCTCCCACACAGTGGCCTCCTTGCCCTTCCTTATCCAGGTCCGTCCTGTTCCTCTGGTAGGCCTTTGCACTTGCTGTGCCCTCTGCCTGGAATGCGTTTCCCCTAGATAGCTGCCACATGGCTAACTCCCTCACATCCTTCAAGTCACTGTATTTGTTATCTATCGCTGTGTGATAACGTACTCCAAATTTTAGCAGCTTAAAACAGCAAACATCTGAGAGTTTCTGTGTATCAGGATTTCAGGTGCAACTGAGCTGGGTGCCTCTACCCCAAGGATTCACTGCAGTCAAGGTGGCACCGGGGCTGAGATCTCATCCGTAAGCTCCCCCGAGGCAGGACCCACCTCCCAACTTGCTCACCTTGTTGTTAGCAGGATTCAGTTCCTTGTGAGCTATTGAACAAAGGGCCAGGAGCCTCCCTTGGTTCCCTGCCATGCAGGTCTTGCCCAAGAGCAGCTCATAGCACGGTACCTAGGTCCAATCAGAGCAAGCAAGCCAGGGTGTGCAAGACGGGAGACACCATCTCTTTGTAACCTGATCTTGGAAGTGACATCCCATTGCTCTTGTCATATTCTGTTTGTTGGAAGGCAGTCAGTCACTAGGTCCAGTCCACACTC